TGCGCTCTGCCCTGGTGCTCCCGGAGGCTTTAGAGGTGGACAAGATGTCTCCGCCACCGCGCAAAGACTGCCGATAAGCGTTCGCACAGTGGCAATCCATCAAAAAAAAGGGTGCCAGATATCGCGACATTGTTAAATGTTTTGGCGGGAGAGCCAGCTAGTTCGGGCGCGGGGCTGGGGTCTCTCCGGTGCCTCTGTGCCCGTCTCCATGGCACGGAGGCGGAGGTGCTGGCCGCCGGGAGGTCAGAGCAGGCCCAGCCGGTGGGGCCAGCGTTCACCGTGGGGCAGGGGACTGGCGCTGCGGACGCTGTGGCACCGCGCCAGGGTCAGGACTAAAGCTGGTGGCATCACTTGGTGTCACACAGAGACTCACGTCGGGACTGGGGTTGTTATAGCCACGTCAGAAAGTTTCAGTTCCAAGAAACTGGATCACTTTCCCTGGTTGATGCCAGTGCCCGAATTCCCACTGACGGAATTAGGAACAGGATTCTACCTTAAAAGCGTCAAATAAGCCAATTGCTCTGTCTTGGTTGTTTTTTTCAGACGCCCGTACTCAGCGTGAGTATGATGAGAGCCATGTTATTACAGCACGCAGGATTGAACAGGTGAGGGAGGGATGACCATTTGTGTGAACCATCCCTGGGTTGAGCAGTAAGACAGAATTGGCCTACAACCCACGGGAATTGTCCCCATCTCTCCTCTGCCTCTTCCAGCCACGCTCCATTCCTGCCACCGGGGGGATGCGTTCTGTCACAAAGCAAAGGTGGCTTCAGTAGCCCAAAGGATTGGCACACAGGAGCCGTGTATCAGGAGAAATATTGCACAAGAACTAACAAATTGTAGACTTGTCTCACAAAGAACAGTGCTGGCATCTTTACCGCTGCGTCTGATGAAGCAATCCGGCGTAGTTTGCGTCATTCCTGAATTCTTTCAGAGTCAAGTACAGACGTAGCCCCAAACTCACCTCCAAGATGTCAGTAGCGTTGATGCCACAAGAAAAGTGTGGAGCTGTGCTCCTGATAGAATTCCTCTGTGATTTTGGTAGAGTCCTACAGGGGAGTATCTGGTACCAGATTCCAAGGAGTTGGGATGCGTCAGATACTGCGTGGTGTATGACCGTGAGACCAGCTCTTTGGATTGCTGTGACTATGAGGAAGAGGAGAAAGAAAAAGGTACCTGTGACCCGTGTCGGTCAAGACCTCACTACGGGATAGATAAGCTTCCCATGCCTCATTTAATTTTATTGGAAGAGATGCAAATTTACCCAGTTTTATCTGAAAGACTAAAATCTGTGCTATGCCTCTGTTTTTTCACTGTGTTGCATATGACCTTAGGCTTCGAAAATCCAGATTTTATTCCGAAGCTTCCTGGCAGGTCTGGTTTCCTATCTGTGGACCGATCCCTCTGAAGTTCCTTGTAGTGTGTGAGCAATAGATTTTTTTTCCACATTTTGCTGAGATTGGGCTTGTTCAGTGGTTGCCTTTTAGGGAGCAGCGCTTCTCCAGAGACTGAAAACACTGACTCACGTTCTGTATGTTCACAGAGCGAGTACTTCCTTCTTTGAGGGTTACAAAAGGCTGTCACATTATTGAATTTAAAAAGACTTAGCTTTGATGGGGTGGTGATTTGATGGAGTTCACCAAGAACTGTGAAGAGCTGGAAACTTGTCCATGTAATTGTTCAGTCTTCTTTGAACCATGGAAAGGTTTAGCTTTCACACATCCTTTGGCCAGGAGTTCTGCTGTATGCAGAACTACTTCTGTATGTTTGTTTGGCTCCTATCAGCTTTAGAAAGGCTACTGTAGTTTTAGCAAACGTTTACATCATTTTTTAAAGAAAAAGATCCTGGAGTGTAAGGTGAATGAATAAAGAAGCATGTTCATAAATGCTCAGTGCTGAGACAGTAGCAAGGGAAGGTGTGAAGAATCAGAAGTAGGTTTCCATTGTGCTGATCTGTTTCTAAAGCAGACATAGCTAGAGGCAAGCAGGATGGATCCCTCGGGAGAAGGAGGGGGAGCAGCCATCTCACATAATTTGCTTCACTGAGGGGAGTGTTTAAAACACTTGTGAAGAATTTATTCAAGACACCTCCCCCTTTGCCTAAAGCAGACTAAAGAAAAGGGCCTCCACAAAACCAAGATTATTAGATTTAAAGTAATAATACTTCCTTGTTACGGGAACTTATTAAAAGCATTTCCCAAAGAACAATGGGGAGGACAATAAACCTTTATCTACATCTACAAAAGAAACCAGGAGAGGAATGAGAGGCCGAGAAGTGAAAAGCAGCATGCCTTGTTACTGACCTGCAGCAGCAGTTAGTCAGCCTAGCTCTAACAAGGCTTTGTGTGGCCCGTTAGATGAAACGCAGTGTGCTGTCGGTGTCAGCACGCCAGGTTTGGCCCCAGCGCTGAGGGTGGCACTCCAAACCTGCCCTGGCAGGTACCTTTTTGGTCTCATTAGATGCTGAGGAAGGCACGGCGGTCCGGCATGCCAGGAGCTTAGAGCACTTCACTCGCCATCCCGTGCTCGTCCTGCGGGGAGGATACAAGTGCTTTTCAGCTCGCTATCATTTTCTGAGGACTCAGAAGATACTGTGGATGCCTCAGGTGAGATGACACTAGTTTGCAAGTAGAAGACATTAGCATTCATATTCTGATGATGCCAAAGGAATTCAATTTAAATGGTGTTGCAAACCTGGTATCAGAGTAATTTCAAACAAAGGCATTAAATGTAATTTGAATTACTGTGCTTGCCCTGAGTCTCACCACTAATTCTTTTACAGCCACACTTTGCCTTTTTTATCCTTCTTCTATTGCGTGAAAGAAAGCTCATGAAAACAAACTGGGAAGGTTTCTCTGATAACCCTGAAACTGGCCTAACTGGAGAGTACAGATAACTAAACAAACAGTAGCAAATGATGAAAAGAAGCAGATTCCTGTCTGACACATGGTTATCTGGGATGTTACGCAGTGCATGTTTTCAGGCAGAAGTACAATTACTGTCAAGCCGCAGTGTGTTCCATGTCTGTTCCCCATTTTCACCAGGAAGAATCACAAAGCAAGTCCTGCTGCTTTGTTTCAACAGGCGCAGAAAGCAAACAGCCATCCACTGGAACACTGGTATCCTAATTGTTTGGTTTCCCCTACAAACATTGATCTGTTTAGCTTAGGAGAATCAGTTACCCTTTTTTTCACATCGAGGACAGGACCTGAGGCAGGGCAGATTTAGAGGGCACTGGACAGCAGAGAGCATCTCATTGCAACGTGTCTTTTGTTTCTGCTGTTCCTGTTCACTTCTGGGTCACACGAAATCACCCATGACATGGTGCTAACCTGTGGGATGCTACAGTGCCACAGAGAAAATCAGTTCACTTTGTGCTTCTTTGTGAAGGGAAGAAAACTGCTGAACTTCCCCGTCAGATTCAACTGCACACAAAGCACCTCCTGGCCTCTCAGCTTGAGCTGCTGTTCTCTGCTGGTTTAAATTGTTCAGCTGCTGGTTTGTTCTGCTGTAGCATCAGCCAGGTATCGGTGAGGGATGCAGAGGCACTGTTGGCTACTTGTGTATTTCTGTTCTCAGCCTTCACGCTGCCGACACCGAAAGCAGCTGCGGATTCTTGTTGTGCCACTCTGGGGCACCTGCAGCTCTGCAGGTGGCAGATGATTTCATTTAGCCTTGCAAAAGTAAGTGGGGAGAACATCAGATAGAGTCTGTAACGCTGCAGTCCCTCCAGACAACGTCAAGAATATACGCCGCCTCCAGTTGAGTTAGGATTTGTTCCGAGTCATGCCACAATGGCAGCGCCGCTGTTAATTATTCTCGCTAAATCTAGCAAAGACTTCAATATACAGCAAGCCCAGGTGATTAAATGAATCATTACACTAGAATGTGTCATGGGCTGTTGACTGTCTGTGTTCAATTCTCCACATGGCTTCTGTTTAAGAATTTACCAAGCTAACTGGAGCAAATCCAGTCTCTAAACTGAGCCTATGTTTTTTCTCCGGCAGGAACTAGACAACTTCCAGCCATACCCTGTAGAAATACTGCCTGCAAAGTTATATATGGGCAATTTCAAGCAGGCCTGTGACCAACGGATTCAGAGAGATCTGAAGATCAAAGCACAAGTCAACGTCTCTGAAGAGCCTGCCACACTGTAAGTTAAATCGTTCGAGGTGTGCCCTCACCCGTGTCTGCGCCTGTGAAAAAAGTGAGGTGGCCCAGCACCAGAGCCCATTCGCAGAGGAGTCAGTGCCTGTGAGCGTCCAAGGAAACCTCTGGTGGGAGGAAAACTCTGCAGATTCAAGGCCTGTTTCATGCTCTTTTTTCTGACTGCAGAGTTAGCACAGCAGCCATGCAGTCCTGCAGCCCTCTGCCATGGCATGGGTGGATGGGGTGAGAGGAGGACTAGGAGGCCCTTGGCATTTCAAGTCGATCGCATACCACCGTCCTTCGGGAAGAACTTACATCTCTGAATAGCTTTCAGAGCAAAATCTTACAAACACGTCAGTGTAAATGCTAAATCGATGATGTTTGGTGGTGTTGGTCTTCCTTACCTACTTCTGCCCATGACCATTGTGCATGATCTGTAGTCCACGCTGGAAATGCCATTTCACACAGTGAAAAATCCAGCGGCATTTCTCAAGGTGGTGACCAAAACTAAGTAACAAATCCAGTTACCTACCCCAGTGCATGTGTACCAGCAGACATTTCTCATGCTTTTGGCTCCAGAGGAAAATGTTCAAAGGTCTCTCTGCCGTGAGCAGTCTTCCCATGCCCTCTGCATGACGTGCTTTCACAGTTCAGAAATTCCTCACCAAAGTTTTGCTCCATTAGTTCTCTGAGTTGAGTTCTCTGAGCTTGAGGAAGGAGGAGGATGCTGTCACAGAAAACTGTGTGAAGTGAACTGGGGGGCTTTGTTCACAAAACTGCCAACGTGCACGCTGTGAAGGCGCTCTTGCTTTCAGCTCATCTGTTTTCATTTAGGCCCCAGAAAAAGGAAGCTGTAGGTTAAGTTAAGACATCGATGCTGATACCGTGTGGAATGGAAAATCAGTAATTAAACTGGTTCTGTATTACAAGCACCTCACTGTCTTATCATAACAAATCTCTTATCATAATGTTAATGATGACGATGATGAAAAACTCACACATGTAACAGCAAACAACATTATCAGCTTGCGTCCAACAAACACATTTTTTCAAAGCTGCTTCTCTGGTCCATGTCACGCTGTGTGCTTTTTTTCCAGGTTTGAAGAAGGCAGCAAATACCTCCATATATCTGTTCCAGATTCACTTGAAGCGGATCTTTTGTCTACCTTTGCCACCATTTGTCATTTCATAGGTGAGCTGTTCCTAATCCGGAATTCCTGAGACCTTGCTCACTCTGCGATATTAGATGGGAGTGGCTGCAATTCACTCCAACAGGAAGCTCAGACAAGAGGGTCGTAATCTTTCAAAATCAGTGTACTCCCAAGCAAGCCCACACCCTAATGGATAGGCACTGCCTTACAAACCAGCCTGAGGGACAGAGAGGAGATTTTACAGGGCATCTCACTCTGATGTTCCTACTCTTTAAAGAATACCTCACTTTGATAATAGTGAGCTTTCTGCTAGATGTGAGAAGGCTTTGCTATAGGATGCCTACCAGGGCTTCACAGGATTCCCTCCTATTCTTTTGTTCTTAAATACAACCCTTGGACTATTAGCAGCCCAAATCTTCAACCACCAGAGCTTTGTTTGAACGAGAGTGTGACACGCATTGGAGAACTTACCACAAGACTGCTGATCTTTGTGATTTTCAGTGCAGACCCACCATAGGGCCTAGGAAGATCTTCAGGTTGGACAGCATAAACCTGCCTTCAGCTGATTACATCAGTGAGGGCGAGAAAGAACATACTCCTCAGCTCAGTGCCTGCAGCAGCACAGCAGACGTAGCTCCTGCAGCTCCATCCTGCCATGGTATCCGCCCGTGTCCTTACCTTCTATCACACTTGTGAAATAACACCCACTGCAGGCCCTGCTGAGCCGAGTGTTGGACAGACCCAGAAGCAAAAGACCACCCCATCCCCACAGACTTTTTAATCCAAGTACGAAATAAGAAATGACAGCTGGAGACAAACAAAGAAACAAGGAAACAATATTTAAGGATCTAGTTTATAGTTAAATTTTATAGTTTATAAAATTTAGTCCCGAACGGAACGTCATTATTTCCGTGCATTGAAACCCAAATATCGAAATCCACTTACTCGCCTTTCATTTTGCCCCAGGCTTTTTTTCCCACTAGTATTTGAGAAGAAAGTGTCTTTTTCACAACAATTTGTGCAAGTTTCGAAAACAGATTATAAGAGTTTATTAGCTGTAGCGCTGTTTACTTGATAGTCTAACTATTTACCTGACAGTCTAGAGGAGATTACTTCAACTGGAACAGTTATGGGTGAACACTAAAAGCTCTCCACATACTCTCAGAAGAGCATGGATATCCTCATGCCAGGTGCATGTTGGAGTGAGGCTGTTTCTGCTCAGGTCTTAGAACAGAACTAGTATCTCATGATAGAAATAAGTCAGAAAACTTTGGGTTAGACCTCGAAGAAAAAAACCACAAAACTCCACAACCTCTTGACAGCAGTAAAAGAAGAGGTTTTGCCCTATGAATTCTAGAGTTCAGTTGCCCATGTTTCAAAACCATGTCGTGCTGTCTGCTCTGGAGAGGGAGGGAAAGAATTCAAAAGGTTATTAATAAAATATAGACTCTTTCAGGCATAGTTAGCAGAGGTGATGTGGTTAGGAGTGAGTGACAGCATCCTGTTAAAGCCAAGTGGGCTTGGCTTTTGTAGGAAATGAGTTTGCTGATCTTAGCGATTTTCACTGCAAAGAACCCATCATAAAAACATCATAAAGTCGGCGCCCGTGCTGGCATGTGCATGCTTCCTCCTCGTCATCCCTACGGAGGGGTATGGGATTTGAAGTCTAAGTCCCCTCCAGTTTGAGAGCTGATTTCTCCCACTTCAGATGAATACAGTTAGACTTGTGTTTTTCAGAAATTTCAACACCTCTAAACCTTTCTCAGAGGAGTTTGAGTAAGTGATGTGATGCTGATTGCTCATGGTAGGCCACCTTTCTTCAGTTATCTAATGTAAAGGTGACACTGATCTGTAATGAAGCATTGTCTGGTCATTGTCATTTGGTTCTGGTCTTCAAAGCCACGTTTTAACTCAGTGGATTTTTAAGAAAGGCACTGCCAGCTTACAGAAACTGTAGCTGGCAGTGCCCATCTGCTGCCGTCAGGGTTCGTGAGGGTTCCTGTCACTCAGGCTGCTAGCCTGTCGGCTGGCACTGAATTACAGCTTGATTGTGCAATTGGAAGCTTCATTTCCCAGATCACTAATTTGTGATTGGCATTTCTTTACACAGACGCTCAGCTGGATCGTGGAGCGGTGCTGGTCTTCTCCAGCCTGGGGATAAGCCGGAGCAGCGCAGTAACCATGGCTTCCCTGCCAGTTTTCCCTGAAGGTACATCACTGCCATGCTTCCCGCAGACACGGGCTGGGTCTGCAGTTTCTGTTTCTGAAGCCTCATTGCTGTAGTAATGAGGAAGACGTTATCTGTGCTTTCATGCACACTATCCACCTGCTAATGTAACAGGTTACATGGGATGAGATTGCATCTTCTTTATACCGTTACGGAGATGGCTCAGGTGTGATTTTGGCTCTGTGAGTCCTTATCCTGGCACCTGTGATGTTCCTGAATTTCCCTACTTAACTACGGGGCCATAAAAACAAAGCTGCGGTTACAGAACTCAGCATTTCTGCTCTCCTGGATCTGAGAAGGGCAGTATCTGGAAGCTACTGGAGTTAATCCCGTCTCTTAATACCAGCAATTCAGAACCCAGTGCTTGCAGGGCTCTGATTTACCACTGGGCTCAGCAGCACCAGCTTTTTCCAAAATCCTATTTTCTTTCTCCAGAAGCAATCCCCTCCCACAGGTAGTACGTTAGAGAGCTCTGGAGCGGGATAATCCCAGTGCAGGAGGGGTGTACAGGTTAAGTGGCCAGTACGCTCTGTTCCGTAGCTCTGGATGACGTAAGGAAAATCACGAATGACGTCTGAGAGTGACCCGGCTGTGCAAGAGCCTGGCGGCCTCTCCCCCCCTGCCAGGCCCTTTTCCATTCGCATGCAGCACGTGGGCATCATGCTGCTGTGGGCACCATCTCATGGTGCCTGCTTAGCACAGAGCAGGCTAGTTCCCAGGGCAAATGAAAGGCGTCTCCTTCAGAATCTTGGCTTTGTTTGGGATGTGTTTCCTCCTTTGGGAGCTTGAAAGGATCGATCCAAGCTTCACTGAGGCTGCGCCTCTATCTAATCATTGCATTGATTCTGCGCAAACATTTGCGACATAAGAGGTAATCTCTTACCAGCGCTGTGTGCCAACGGGTAATTTCAGGTTGAGCGTGCCAACCGGGCTGCAGACACTGGTTCGTCTCTGCTACTAACACTGGGTGTGATTCCTCCTGCCCACTGATAACTGTTCCCTCGCATGCTAAAACACCGGCGCTGCTTGCAACGGCCGTGCAAAAGTCAAACACTGATCGTTGCAATTCCTCTCGGTTGGTATCAACAGGTTGGTCTCAGCGTTATGACGAAGTGCCAAAAAAAAGAAGAAGAAAATGTTGGCACGGCAGTGGCATGCTGCGGCTGGCCTGGGCGGTGCTTGCCCACTGTTGGCAAGGCAAAGCTTTCCTGGGGGATTACCCTGGCAGACGAGTTTGTGTCTTGCAGACAAAAGCAATGCAACAGATTCCTGTGTGATCCTTCCCCCAATCTAGGCAAAGATCTCTGAAAGCTTCGAAAGACACGGATATTGCAAAGGAAAGGCAGGTTTGGGACGTGCGGCCCCTTAGTTGGGGGCTGTTAGTAATCGATACGTGAGTAGATCTGTTGAGTTCAGGGGAACTAGAGGCATCCACACAGTGAGCCCGGAGAAGTAAATATTGGAAGATCGTCCTCGGAGCCTGCAGAATCACTGAGATTAGAAAAACAAACCAATGGAGCACTATCTTCTAACCTTTGGTCTTGTTACGCTTAAGCAATCCTCCGAGTGTGGAACGCAGTCTCTTTTAAAAGTGGGAAGATGAGCACCACTGACCCAAGGATGCAGCTGGTGGATCTGCTCTGTGTGTAGCAGGGTTCCTAGCTGATTACTTGGAAGTCACAAATAATTAGGACGGCTGTAATTAATGCAGGGGGATAACTGGAGTGTCATAGCTGCTCTGCCACATCAGGTCACACCAATCCAGAAACATGATAACCTTTGTTGTTTATCTGTGAATAGCTGATACTTCACTGCTTTGCTTATCATCCATGGAAGAAACAGCATTTTAGGGTAGAAAATCCAGGACGTCATTGGTGTAAAATAATGCAAGACACCTGCCAGGTGGTGAAAGCAGCCTGAGCTGTCCTTGCATCCAGGAGAGCAGAGTATGAAGATGACATCTCTGAAGTTCACATCTGGATCCAGCCTGTCCCTGCTTTGGTAACCAAAGTCTTACCTGCAGGTTTTTGCCGTCCAACACAGGGTAAATACAAAGCTGTGTCGTTCCCAAGTGGCGCTGCTTCGTGTAAATTCCCAAGATTCACTTTCAGTTCAAATTCATAGAATCATAGAATGGTTTGGGTTGGAAGGGACCTCAAAGATCATCTAATTCCCCCCCCCCTGCCATGGGCAGGGAAACCCTCCACTACACCAGGTTGCTCAAAGCCTCATCCAACCTGGCCTTGAACACTGCCAGGGATGGGGCAGCCA